ATTGATTTGCTAAGACAAGATGCAATTGTTAAGACGAGATGAAAAGGTTATGTGCTTAGCCCATAGGTAATAGAATTACATAGGACAGCAAAGCTTTAGAACTTACAATAGCTAAGCTGTCAAAGTACTCGTAGGATTTTCTCCCGTGTACACCAAAGCTATACACAATCTTTTTCTGTTAATTTACCATCAGCTCAGTCTTCTGGAGCCATATATCCTCTGCTTATTTGCAAATTTGACAATTTAAGGATGGAGTCTGGAGTTCAGGAGGACATTACTTGCTTTAATGTCTCAATGAACGATTCTGGTTTTCATGGTGGTACACCTATCCTTCTACTGTCTCTATAATTATCTCAAATCTCTTCTCCCACTCTATTGCTTGCCCTCTGTTTGTTTCTGTCAAATTCAACATAGTAGCATCTCAAATTAGTCACTTATACCAAATACAATTTTTAGTAATTATCATGACATTGAGAACCTACTTTCTATTTAATACTTGATGTAATTCAAGAGTATTAGTAACTCTTTCAGTATGGAAAGATGCAAAATTGATGTAGAGTTAAGATATTGTGGCACCATTGCGGAGAATTCTTATATAAACTGCAGAGAATTTCTTGATGCTTATGCTTGAAATTTGAATAACTGCCTTTTACTGTTGACATGATATGATTATATAGGCAAACTGCATTCTACCTTTTCACTTCTTCTGTATCCTATAGTAACTGTTATTGTCCCTGAAGAAGTCAGTTGAAAATTTGCTATGCCATACTATGTGCTAATCCATATCTAGCATCAGGTCTTGAGCATGTTGCTGCTTTGCCGAAGGCTGAAATTCACTCTTGCACACTTATGTTTTCCATATTGGCAACGGAATTTGTGATAGAATGGTGCGGTTGCCCGGAGTTTGGTTCCCACACATTAACTCAACTGTCCCCAGTGTTGCATCTGGTAGTACCGTAGTAGCAAATTAACCAGAATCATACTGATGACAGATGAATCAGCACTTGATTTCTCCATTTCGCAACTTGTTCAATTTTCTATTATAGGACTATTTAGATACTCCACCAGATAAAAATTGACATAGATCAAGACAGTGACAGAATGCTAAGAGGAAATCCAAACATGCTGTGATTTGTAAGTGAATCAGAAAAGTTGAGAAATCAAACCTTCACAAGGGAAGCTAACGTCCTATTTGCTCGATATTTTATGTAGTCATCTGTTCTGTGTGGAGACATAACATGATTTCCGTTTAACTAAAAACCGGGAATCGATTTCTTGTCTTCCATTTCCTAATATTCTAAGATGATTTTTCTTTCAATAAATAATGCGGAATCTTTGACGGAAAATGGCATCAGGGACCGATGGTGTCACAAAATTGAAAACGGCACTGCTTCTT